TGGTGATGGACAAGCCTACTCTTCTCAGGTAGTTGGGAGTCCTCCACGTGGATAAAACCTAAAGAATGCTGGACCCGCTGTTATGCCTGTTGTAGGTTAAAGCTTTCGAAGTCGTGGGAGAAAGTGTTTGCTGGAGCAGTTGTTTTGGTGTGTTGTGGAAGGGCTTTTCACACATATGAACTCATTTAACCTTTAAATTGCTGTAAGTAGTTAAGTATTCATGGAAGAATCTTCTGTAGCCTGTCACTCATCTTCTGTGATTTGGAAGGAACTTGGCTGACTTGAGCACGTGCCCCAGGTGGTTCATCAGTGTTGCTTTTCCTTCTTGAAGGAGTTAGCAGAGAGCTATGGAAGCGTCAGCAGATCAGTGCTAGGAGACAAGAGCTCACTTGGATGAATTAATTTATGCAATAAGTATTAACAAGTATCTACCATGTTCCGGCCACTGCTTTAGATTTGGGGAACTGAAAAGTGGTCAGAACAGTGTCTCTGCTCTTGAGCGAGCTTCTTCCGACACTGACACCTGTAGGGGTGGTGTTATTTGTGAATTCTCACTGAGACACCTACATGTGTCAGTCTTGCTGACCTGGTACCAGCCATACCTGAAGTTAAATCTATCCCTAAACTGATAGGTTGTATTTATTTTTCTATTTATTCTTAAGCTGATTTGAATATGGTTTTCATATGAAAATTAAATATATGTAATGAGTGCCTGTGAGTCAAGTGGGAACTCTTCTAGGTATGGGGGGATGTGGAGGAGCGGAGACAACACAGGTTCTGGCTTTATGAAATCTTGTCACAGAGAAAGCAGATACTAAATGCGCAATGAATAGACTCTCTTGTGGTAAAAAGGACTTTGAAAAAATTGAGGAAGGTAAATGGAGGAGAAAACAGGTGTGTGTATTAGTAGGTAGAGACAAGTTTATGTGGAATGTCAAAGGGAGTCTCTACAGAATTGACGGTTTCAGATGAGATCGGCTTGTCAGGGAGCCAGCCGAGGGACAATCCCAGGCATCCGATTCCTGGCGGGGGAAGGTGCAAGGACAACGTCTTTGAAGTCCAGATGCACTGGTTGTGTTCAAGCCACAGGAAGCCCACGGTGAGCGTGGTTGCTGGGCTTTGCCTGATCCGTTCACTTAAGACCTGTTAGAACTTGCTGAGGAGTTGGCAGGCACTGGCCTACCAGGGGCGGCTTTATGATACAAGTATCAAGTTGAGTTCTGTTCCGAGAGCATGCTCACTCTGTTCCATGGAGTGTGGACTCTGGTGGAGTAAGAAGAGAAGCAGCTGGGAAAACAAATGAAACTGCATTAAGTCACGCAAGAGATGCTGCTGGCCAGAGTGGGGGTGGCTGTGGTGAGGGAGGGGCAGTGTGTGGCATCAGGAAATGTTCTCAGACGCAGCAAGCAGGACATCTGATGGACCAGTCAGCTGAGGGCGGGAGGAGTGACTGACGTGAGAGAACGCTACACTGTTCCCTTGGTTCTTGGAGTACCCATCTGGATGAAAAGCGGTGCCACTGTTCACTGAAAGAGAAGGAGAATGTCTCAGATGACAGGGTTGGGGAGGGGATGAGGAGGTACAGGTTACGGTTTTGATGCTGCGGATGCTGAGTTTGAAATGTTTCCTAGCAACGGAAGAGCATGTGTTACGTAGACGGCTCAATTTGCCACCGGGGAGCTTAGGAAGGCGATCTGGACTGGAGACAGAAATTTGTGTATGCTATTTGAAACCCTGAGTTAGGATTGAGATATCTCAGGGGAAGAAATAGATGAAGAGCAGGGACAAGCAGAGAGGGCCCTGAATAGACCAACATCTAGAATACAGGCAGAAACTTAGGCATGTGAGCACTCTTGAGATTATCTAAAGGTCAGGAAATGATGAACTGACTGAGGGACTTGGGGGAAGACTGCGCTGAGGCATGTCTGCTAAGCACCTGTAAGGTGAGCCCTGAGAATTGGGTATGTGTTTCATGAGTTGACCTTGAAAAGAGAAGTTTCAGTGCAACCATGGGAGAAATAGGAACCTATTTCTGGACTGAACAGAGACGGGAAATTCAGGTCATGCAGTTCTTCCAGAGTGAGAGAGAAAGGGGGCAGTCATTAGAAGTGGACACAGAGCCAAGGAGAGGTCACTTAGAACAGGAGTCCTGAGCAATGCTGTACATTGCCCTCAATATACAGCTGAGGGAGTTGAAGATCAGAGAATGGCCAACAACACAGAATGTACTAAAATTTGCTAATGCTAGAGTTCAGAGTCAGGTGTTTTTTTTTTTTTAACCAAAGGCCACATGGTAAGTACTGTTGTTTATACTCTATCAAGTTAATGTTACTATAAATGATACTTGCATATACAGTAGGCCATTGCATTACTATTGTTATTATTCTGATTTTCAAGAGTATAGCACACTTTGGCCACAGTAGTCACTATGTTTGCCATCCACAAAAGGCAAAAAAATGGCAGTAGGGAAATTATACTAGAAGTTAGACTAGAATCTACAACACGATAAAGTTTGTGAGTTAGCTGATAAAATTTCTCAAGCATAGAATTGTTTATTATCTATTCATAGCACAAAGATCAAAAGTCACTTCTAGGTTCTGAACATGGAAAACAAGTTGTTGACCTGTTTCCCCAACACTGATAAAGGCTCTCTGGAATTTTATAGTTCTAATAGTCAACATTATTTGTTGGAGCTGGTAACATACCAAGGTAAGAATTCGCGGAATGTCCTCTTAGAATTCATTATGTAGTCACTTGTATTTTACTTTTGAATTTCTTCATCACTGTCTAACCTCTAAACTCAATGCCCCGTGTGTCTGTTTTCTGAGATACAATTTCTCCCTTTATTCATGGCTTTGAATATTTATGACTCTTCAGACGTTTCCTTCGTGTTACTTGGTGGCGTGTAGGTGACCTTGAATTTGTCAGGAATCTTTAAGTCTTGTACAGAGTTTGGAGTGTGTTGCTGTTAAGCTTTGTGGCCTGAGCGTAGCAATGGGCATTTGTAGAGTGAATCTAACGGGTGCCCTTTGTGACTCTAGAGAAATTGTGAGCCGGCTCAGCTCCCTTCCACTGTCAGGATTGAGATACTATCAGCACACTTCTCTTCCCAGACTATTAGGTTTTGAGCTTTTAGAGATGTGTCAAATGTTTCAATGGTGTACACTGCTTGGATTTCAGGGGAGGAGTAGAACTTAGTAATCTTAAGAGTGTTGTGAAAATTAATGAGTTAATGTTCGCTAACACTTTGAAGATGAAAAGCCTGGGGTAAATGCTTATTATTGTTTCAAGCACACCACAAGCCTGGCTGGGCAGGCACATGCATTTCCCAGAGATGAAATGATGATGCAACATAGAAAATTGAGGTGTAGCGCTGCGTCGCTGGTAAACAGGTTGCTCGAGAGGGTGTTTGTGGGAATGACTCTCACCAGAACCCCTGTGTCCCAACGAGGCCTGAACACAGTCACAGGTGAGAACCAGTGTAGACTTTCAAAGGCTCCTTGCCAAAATGAATATTGTTTGATGAGAGCGAGTGTGGGTAGAGATGGAGGTGAGCAGACGGGGAGCTCGGGGCTCTGCGGAGCTCTGCTCCTGGGGTGCCCTCATCCTGCTCTTTGATCAGGGGATGAGGGACTGATGGCCTGGAGGCGGGTGGTCGAGCCCTGCACACTCGGCATGGCTCCAGCTGGGGGCAGAGCCAGCAGGCAGAATCTGCAGATGTGGAGATGGGTATCTTCCCAGTGAACCAGCCCAGGCCGCTCTCTTCTGGAGAAGTTGATGAGAAATCCCCGAAGCGGTAAAAAGGATCATACCCTGAAGCCAACAATTTCCCTCCTAGGAATTTGTCATTAGGAATATTTACTTGCTTACTTTGGTGCAGTTAGTTGTTAGAAAATTTCAGCAATGAATGTCCAATAATAAGGGATTGAAACAGCAAATCATGGCTCAAACTTAACGCAAAATATATAGACAGTTGTGTTAAGAAGAGATATCCACAGTGTATTAAGTTAAAAAAAAACCTGTTAAATATAACATCAAAATAGAGGTTTTTGAAGGTTTTAAATTCCCTATTTTAATATTTCTGTACACTAAGCATTATTAACAATCTAATAAAAATTACTTATGAGGTTATAATACAAGTTACCATCAGCATTCATAGGGAAAGGAGGTATAAAATAACAAGGCCATGAGATTTATGCAAAAACTTTAAAGAAGACTTCAGACAAGCGTGGTGGGCAGAAGTGAATTAGAAGATACTGACCTCACAGCTCAGCAGGCTGCTTCTTGATCAAGGTGTCCATGATGAACTCTTCCTGGGCTCAGGGTACCAATCCAATAGGACTTCTCCTCATGTGCTCACGCCGTCTACGCCAGCTGAGACGGGAGACACCAGGGATCTACTGTGCATTGACCTGAGGCCATGTAGCAGAGTTAGTGTCCCCTGGGTGGGGCCTTTAGCCAGTGACTGACAGGCCTAGTTGACTCCTCCCTTCCTCCCCTGGCTGTGCTGTCGTGAGCTGCAATGTCTTATCTGCATCTCTGAAGCTTCTGCGAGAGTGAGCGTGGGCAGCACTCCACGTGTGGGCGCAGCCAGCTCCACAGAGCACCCTCTGAGATGGCCCTCGTTTCTCTCTGTTCCACTTCCCCCTTTAAAAGCAAGACAGATCAGCTCAATTGCAGAAAGTTCACACGAGCAAGAGACAGGTTTTAGAAAGCGACAGCATTCCAGATAAAGCATGGTTCCAAGTGTCTCCCTGTGACAATGCGGTGAGCCACTTGTGTAATCTGCGAGACAGGAAGTGAGAGAGAGGACCAGATTGGTGGCCGGGTTAGAACTTTCCATCTTTGGCCGTCATTGGGAGCCTGCAGCCTAGGATTGGCTTAGGGGCCGGCTGCTGTGATTGGCTGAGGCTCACTTGCGTTAGTTATAAGCTGTTCTCTTAAGTAAGATTACAGCCTGTTGACATGGCAATGCGAGATACCAAATCCTATGTACAGAGGCACCTTGAGACCAAACTTACCTTCAGGCAGCAGGGCTGGTTTTGGCCAAATGAGTTTCGGTTCATCTCCTCTTGGCCTCAGTTCTGCTTCCCTGCATCCAATGTGCAGACGATGTGGCAGCTCCCAGGGTCTCCCTCTCCTTTCTGAGGACAAGCTACATCAGTGTCTGACACAGAAACCAAGTTCAAAGTTACCGTTCATTCAGTCAAAGGTGTGATCATCGCTAGCATTTAGTGAGTGGTTTCTATGAGCCAGACACCAGACGCTAGATCATCTAAATTTGGCAACAACATCTACATTGACAGTCGAAGAAACTTGGTTCTAGACAGGTTAGGAAAGCTGCCCAAGTCACAGAGCACGTGACCTGCTGTTAGAGACCCCATGTCCCTCACAGCACCTGGTATAGGTGACATAGAAACACAGGGATGGTACAGACTGCCAAGTGGCTGCAGACCCAGAAGCCGCTAACTTGCACGTGTAAAGCAAGAACAAAGAGTGAGGCCGGTATTCAGTAAAGTGTTAGCTTGTGTGACATGGATTATAATTGCCATCCAATTGAGAAACAGAGACATTTAGGTGGCCTGGGGGGTTTCTCCCAGGAAGGCTGCTCAAGTCAAGCTGAGTGTCAGGATGGCTGTGATTTGGGGGGCAGAGGGCAGATAGGACGGTTTGTGACAACAGAGAGGACTGGGGTGACTTAACTGTGGAGTACGGCCATCAGAGTAACACAGGCAGCTGTGGTGGGCCTCAGTTAACCAAGCAGCCGGAGTCTCGGGGCTCTCGCGAGCAAGTGCAGGAGTTCATGAGCGGCCTGGGATGAAGGAGCCGCTCCTGAATTGGGGCGAGGGATGGGATTCCAGCTGGCCGAATGGTGTTCTAGGGAAAAAGAATGAGTTAGAGTCATCAGATGGTAGGTTCTGCTGGGTAGATGTCCGAATTTTGTATCCATACATGAAACACACACAAAGCTGATGTAGCAATCTCATTGCACGACAATACAGGTGGAATTCTCTGGACTACTCCATGCTGAAGGTGTAAGCTCACACAACAGTGACACGGCCTTTCTTTGAGGCTTATGCTATGCTGAGCACAGCACCAAGGTCTTTTATCATCCTCTGTTTACACGTGGGGAAACTGATACTAAGACGGGGCCTGGGAGGTGCCCAGCGAGGTGGCCACTCCGCAGGAAGTCTGAATTGCAGCCCTGAGCTGTCTGCCCCCGGGTTGGCGTCCTCGCTCTCCGGACTCCTGCAGGCCCGAGCCCAGAGTGACACTTGATCTTGATGAGCATCCGTGTCAATTAATTACGATGGAAGGACTTCTCAGATGATGAGGTTCCTAGAAGCCTTCGCCTCAATATAGGTGGCTGACAAATCTCCCGGTTAAGTTGATTTGGCATTGAGGGAATTTAATTCAGAGCAATTTTCCATCACTCATAGACGCAGGCAAAATTAAATAATGAGATTTGCCAGCTTCTTGAGCGGGTGTTCCTATTCATGATGAAACACAAATGTCACTGTGGGAAGGAAACTTGAGGAATTAGAGAGGTGGCAGTGGTGACATCTTTAAAGAAACCGTAGTATAGAGCGAACACAAAGCAATTACTCGCAGAGCAAATAAAAATTGGAGATATATATATATATATATACATATTGTTCTGAACTGTAAGGACGAACAGGTCCTCCTGCCGTGAGTGTGTTTTTGGTAGAGTCGGTTTCATGCTTAGGTGAGCTGGGGAGCGGCCTCACTGGTGCAGGTGGAGGAGTCTGGGCCAGATTTCTTGGTCCAACAGAACAGAATTGTGCCTTCACAATTTCTGGTACCAGCAGTTTCAGCAACTAGGTATGCCTTTCTGTGTTCAGATGAGGGCTTTGGGGGCTTTCCGAGTGACTTATTAAATTGCAAATTCTCCTGGGAGGCTCAGATTCCTTTCAGATAATTTGTTGAAGAGAATTCCATTTAATTCTGTAAATTTCACTTCGCTTGACTTCAGTGTCATCTGTCTGAGTCCCTACTAAGTGCAGAGACCTTTGCTGGGTCTTCATGATGGGAGGAGACCCACAAGCTGGTCATTTGCCGTCTTTCTCAAATTGTTGGAAGAGGCAGTCGGTATTTGGGGCCTTGTGGGCTGTATGGTCTGTCATAGTTCTCACCTCTGTCATTGAAACCTGAAGGCAAGTGCTCATTGCTGTGTCCCAGGAAACCAAACAGCCTGTAGGCAGGAGGCTGAACCCCTGGTCTGGATGCACATAACCAGGCAGGGATTGGCTGCAGCTTATCTGACGTCATCAGACCCCAAGAGGAATGTGTAGGATGTTGCACTTGGGTGAAATACCGCTTGAATCTCCTGGAAACCTAAAAAATACACAGCCTGGGGCCCACACTTGGATCCCAGGATTCTCACTGAATTGGTCGTGGGCTCCATGCTGGGGGCCCTAGGAGCTACCAAATCCTGCCCTGTGGTGCTACGAATGATCAAAATTGAAGAAGTGCATTTGCAGGACGTAGGTGGGAAATGTGAGCTGTGAGCCGGCTCCAGCCACAGGCCAGGGCTGGGGGAAGGCAGGAGATCAGCCGTGGCTGGCCAAGACTTTATTTCTCTTCTGTGGGAGGAGGACATTGGCAAGGAAACTTTTCTATCACACTGAGGAAACGCAACAGCCACGGGAGACTCCTCCCTGGAGAGGTAAGCAGCTGGAGATCGGCTGTTTTTAGAGTCGCAGCAGCCTGGTCCTTGCTGGTGGCGTGGTCTGTGCTCTGGATTCAGATGCTGCCTCTGGTGGTTCCAGACGGTGCCATCACAAAGCGCCAGGAAGTACGTGACACAGAGCATTGGAAGTATGTTCTCTCCTAGTTCTATTGGCTAATAGTCAGAAGCCAGGGGGTCAGCAGGGCTGAGCTCTGGCTGAGGGCCCTAGGAGAGACTTAGTGTGCTTTGTCCTGGGTTCTGGTGCTTCCTGGGTGGCCTTGGCCCTCTTTGCCTTGTGGATGCAGCATTGTCATTTCTGCCTCTGTTGGCCCATGCTGGCCTCCCCGCTAAGTGGCTGTCTCTGTCTTTCCTCCTCTTGCAAGTGCTCCAGTCACCCTGAATCAAGGTCACTGGCTACTCCAGTGTGACCTCATTTTAGCTCGAATTCAATTATATCTGCAAAGACCTGATTTCCAAATAAGGTCATGTTCCCTGGTGCCAGGTGTGAGGACTTCAACGTATCCCTGGGAGAACATGATTCAACCCAAAATTCTACAACAGGAGTGTTTCTTGACCCTTTGTGTTGGAAGAGCAGAGGGAACATGGAAGGAGGGGAACAAGGCACTTGAATTGTGAGGCAGGTTGGTGGCCTCATCTGTGAAATGGGACCATGTAACAGGGAAATGATACTCAGATAACTTGTATGGAAACTTTTCAGATACTGACAAGCCCTGTGAGCTCCAAGTGTGAAATGCAAAGGGAAATGGAGTAAATCAGTCAAGCAAAGATGTTCTATGCATAGTGTCAGGTTGTCAGGAGGGCTGGGGTGAATCAAGAGGCAAGCTGGAGACCGCGTGCTGGCTTTTGGTCTATAGACCTGGGATCCTGCTATGTCCCTCGGTTTGTTGAATCGTAAGTTGCTAGAGCTCCCGGTGTACCTTAGTCAGTCCGAGAGGGGAATCGGTGCTTGGAACAAGGCTGTCCCTCTAATTTCTAAGAGGCCGTAACCATCGCCTGTTCTCACTTTGCCAGTTGGTAGCCAGGAGGGATGGCGTCTCTGGAGAAATCGCCTGCCTCCCTATTTGCTTAGGTGATGCCGCAGGTCTGCCGCCCCCAGCATGGAGCCCACTGGGTCCTCCTTGTCTTGGCGGAGAACTGGGAGGACTTGGGCTTTAGGTTGGGTGACAGGTTGTGCCTCAGTGTGTTTCTCTGCGAAATGGGCATGAGAGTACCAGTACCCAGAGTCACTATGAGTGTTCATTGAAATACACAAAACACACAGCCAAGGATTGGTAGTCAGGTAACACCAATCCAGTGTTGGAATAGACCATCGTGAAGAAGGTGAAGGGGCAATAGACAGCCTGTAGGATTTAGCAGTGGCTACTGATGAGACCAGTAGTACCTAGGATGGAGAGGAGAAAGTGCTGTCAAGATGGGTGAGCTTTCTCCTCCCTTCCCCTGGCAGGAGGACCAGGGGTCCAGCAGGCAGCCTGGGGTGACCGCCAGAGTACAGTCCAGAGGGGCAGTAAGGTGGAAGGCGCTACACAGGAGGCTGTGTGCTGAGCCCCCAGCCCTGTAGCTTCTTCTGCAATTGGAAAGCATGTCCCGTTGACTTACCAGGGACACCCACAAAGCTGGGGCAGGTGCAGGCCTGCACGTGCCTCTACGGAGAATTGGGAAGTTGTCTGGGGATCGTGATGAAAAAGGCCAGGGCACAGGAAAGGCAATGTTTCCTCATCTCCCTTCCCCTCCTCTCCTGACTTCTCCAGGACCTTGGCTCTTGGTCACTTCACTCCTTCGCCACGCCACCTTCTTTCAAGCACACGGGAGGTTCCCAGGAGTCTGCAGTGAGGTTGAGCGGGCAGAGGTCAGAGACCTGAATTAGTAGGGAGGTAAGGACAATGGTTGAGGTTAGACAAGCTGTCATTCTATGCGTGTGTGTGTGGGTGCGCATGTGTGTACAGGTTGTGCGGCTGTTTGCAGGATCTGTGAGTAGGCAGGGCGAGTCAGGAGGAACTCAGCCAGGCCCAGAGAAGGGGGCTGTCTGGGCTGTGGGCTGCTCTCAGGATGGCCTCCCTCCTCTTGCCTTCTGCCTCCCCTCTCTTCCTTGTGGGTACAACCAGGAGTATATTAATTGCAGGGTAATTAAAATGCCATTGGTGAAAGGCTGAGATTAAAGACGAATTAGCAGGTGTCTCTTCCAAAATGCAGGTGAGCTGTCAGCCCTGAAGCAGTCGGTGAGAGAAACCACACTCTTGCCAGTCAGCGATACTTGTTAATTTGAACTTGCTTGTTCTGGTCTCACACTTGGACGCAAGTGCAGCCTAACGTGGGGCAGGAGACTGTATGGCAAAGGGGACTTGTTTTGGTTTCTTTTGTTTGTAGATTCCTGTGTAGACAGCTGTGGATTTGGCAGGCTAAGTCTGAAAAATGATGATTTGTCAGTGGACAGTAAAAGAAATGCATCCATATAGTTGATTCAGATTTCAGTGATGGGGAGTGAGAATTTGTTTGCAGAAAAAAACAGGACCTGGGACGCATTTAAGAATAGTTGTATCAAGGTGGGCGTTTGATGCAGTGGTTAAGATACCATTTGGGATGCCCACATCCCATATCAGAGTTCCTGGGTCTCAGTCTTGGCTCTCCTCCTGTTGCCAGCTTCCTGCTAATCAGCACCCAGGGAGGCAGCAGGTGACAGCTTGGGTCCCTGCCACCCCCACATGAGATGCACAGAGGAGGTGCCAGGCCCCTGGCTTCAGCCTTGGCTGTTGTTGGCTCGGGGGCACTCAGTCTCTCTCTCTCTCTCTCTCTCTCTCTTTTTTTTTTTTTTGACAGGCAGAGTGGATAGTGAGAAAGAGAGACAGAGAGAAAGGTCTTCCTTTGCCGTTGGTTCACCCTCCAATGGCCGCCGCGGCCGGTGCACCGTGCTGATCTGATGGCAGGAGCCAGGTGCTTTTCCTGGTCTCCCATGGGGTGCAGGGCCCAAGCACTTGGGCCATCCTCCACTGCACTCCCTGGCCACAGCAGAGAGCTAGCCTGGAAGAGGGGCAACTGGGACAGAATCCAGCGCCCCGACCGGGACTAGAACCCGGTGTGCCGGTGCCGCAAGGCAGAGGATTAGCCTAGTGAGCCGCGGTGCCGGCCACTCAGTCTCTCTTGATCGTCCCTGGTAGACAGCCTTTCACATGGGTTGTCGGATTTCATAGGTGGGAAGATTAGCA